TAATCCCCAAAAGGAACTAGTATGGGGCCTATGGGTACAGTTTAAGTGTAAGAGTACCAAAAAGGAAAGCGTCGTTGTTCCTATGCATCCTTCTTGTTCCTATGCATCCTTTTTGTAACTTGAAGCGAAGCTCCTGAACATCGCGAAGGTGGTGCCCGCCGTGACCGTCGTGGTCTACTTCAACTCTGTGGGAGGAATCTGTTTTCCCAATGCCTCTCAGGCAGGGGCTAGCTCCTCCAGACCGAAACAAACCCCCAATACCCTGAACCCGAGATATACCTCGGATCCGAGACTCTGCACCCTAAACCCTGAACCCTCAGCCCAAAACCCTGAGAAAAACAAACCCTTTCAAACCCAGACCCTATTATTCCTAAACCCTACCAAGGCTAAACCCAAGAGGCTGAACCAAACCAACCCGAGGAGGTGGGTACCATTGCGGCGAGGCGTGGTCGGGTGGTGATGTTCGAGAACTACCTGGAGGCTGCTGGGAGTTCCTACAAAGATTTCGTGTTTAGGGTCTAGCTTTATTGGCTGAGGTTACTATCAGGGATACTACAAAAGGTCATTTTAGGGTTTGTTTTTTTGTGAGGTTCATTATCAGGGTCACTGTGAGGGTTATTGTTAGGCTTGCTGTAAGGGTTTCTTATAAGGGTTACAACTTAGGGTCACTGTAAGCGGTTTCAGGTTTAGAGTTCGGAAGATCCTGGCCAGTTTACCCTGGGCTTTGGGGTGTGTTTTGAGGGTTGCGGGCTTAGGGAAGTCATGCTCAAACTTATCCGATACAGGTAACGCTGGAACTTCAAACTTGAACCTAGGCCTACATCAAACGGAGCTTCTAGGATGCTGCGTCAAGCAAGTCTTTCGAAGCCGGCTTCCACTTCTGCCCACAATTCTTTAGAGACCCACAAAGCACAAAAGCATAAGCAAATACCCCTACCTGGTTGGGCGTCATTATAAGGGGATTTATATGGGATATCCGGATCCTAATTTTTTCTTATGTGCTTTTCTAGGGCCCTAATTCTGTGACAGGACTGCCAGAGGCCGACGCACAATCCCGCGGCCGCGCACTACGGCCTTTATTTCCAGGACATGCGATGGGTAGTCTTGGCAAGGGTAGTGTCTTCATTTGGATACGTAGTTTGTAACATGTTCAGGAGCCAGAACCGCATCGTACATTCAATTATGGGCGATAGCTTGTTGCTAATACCGCTCTCAAGTGCTGTTAGTCTTCTTCTGTTGCTGTACCTTCTTCTATCACCGTGTCTGAAGACCTAAGTATTGCATTGCAGTTCTTGCTGTTGCCCCCTGAAACCATGCTTCTTCGGTCCACCCGAGGACAAGCCGAAGCGGATTCTTGTCATGGGCATCCTCGCGAATCAGACGCCTCAGTTCTCTCCTGGGTCAGAACCCAAGGCCCTGACGAGGAGTTTGCTCTACTGCGCTGGCACAGAAGCTGACCCTCTCCGCCACGAGAATCCTTCGTACGATGCCTCCCTTCAGTCTTTGAGACCTAAACCCTAAACCCTAAACCCTAAACCCTAAACCCTAAACCCTAAACCCAAAAGCCCTAAACCCTAAACAAGCAGGTTTTCTCTCTGAGTGTTTGTTCTGCTTGTCAGTGACGTGAAATGTACCGCCCAATCATGTTCATTAAGAAGCCCTAAACCCTAAACCGTAAACACGAAACCCAAGACCCAAGACCCTAAACCCTAAACCCTAAACCCAAAACCCAAAACCCTAAACCCCCAAAGCCGTATTCATTTAAGGTCCCTAAGTTTTTTCTGCTCTTCTTCCAAAAAAAAGGTCTACTACAGCCCAGAGGAGCGCAGGGAGAGGGCCGCTGTTCCTGGGTTCTTTTAATTTAGGGCTTTAGGGTTTAGGGTTTAGGGTTGAAAGGAGCTTCATGTAAAGTTGCCCTCATAACTAGGGATATCGTAGGGTCTAGAGTAGATCAATACAATGGGAGCTAGGATTAGGGGGACCCTTGGGGATATAGACCCTCTCAATAAGGTCCCTTTTAAGAGAGCCAAAAGTAGGGTTCAGAAGGGGTACCCTTTAAGGGGTACCCCTAATTATACTCTCTATACAATATCATTCCAGGTATCCGTGGTACCCAAAACCCTAAACCCTATAAGCCCTAAAGTTGAGGAACTTCATTTAAGTTGCCATCCTTTTTAGTAGTAGTAGTAGTAGTAGTAGTAGTAGTAGTAGTAGTACCAAACCCACAGGGTTTCCTGATGTTATGAAAACTCCAATTGGTTGTTTGGGGTTTAGGGTTTAGGATCTAGGGTTGTTCCTAGGGGTATTAGCGTAAATTATCATGGCTTCCTTATTCATAAGGACCCTTCCAGGGAGGTAAGGGGGGTAAGGGGGGGTAGGGGACCCTTTTCAAGGGTCCCTCTGACTTATTGTGGTAACTTAAGTTCCTGAACCCTTAGCCCTGAACAAGAACCCAGGATCGAAGCGCTGAGATCGCCCGCGGCTGGGCGGCCGCGAAGCCAGTGGAGAAGGAAACCGTGGAGGATCCGAACAAAATAACTACACCTAGCCCATGCCTTTGACTCGTCCAGAATAGACTATAGCTAGGTTAAGGGACCTGCGGAATGCTACTGTTACTAGTTGCATAAATCGTACCCCAAACCGTCTTAGAACACGAACCCTAAACCTGTATGGCCCTGAAGCCTGGAGGAGGAGCCAACACTTGGGCAGAGGGAGCCCGACTGGATCGTGGAGGAAGCGCAAGCGCCAAAGCGCTGTCGTTGCTGGGTTTTTGGAAGATGAACGCCTTTAGGGATTCAAGAAGCTAGTATATGGCCACTGTTCCTATTGTTTCTCATCTTGTCGGCGACGTGCTGTACAGTCAAGCAACGCCAGATCCACTCCGGGAGTGGTTGTTCTTTGCACTGAGCCGTGGAGACAAAGAAGAGGGTTTAAGGGTCTAAACCCTAAACCCTAAACCCTAAACCCTTAAAGGCGGGGGGGGGGGATTCTGTGATTCAGGGCTTCATCCCTGCACCCGTGGCGGTGCCCCAAGCCTAGTTGCGCTGGACTTCCGTTGCCTTGGGCCATCGAAGGCAGACCCTGGACCCGAAGTCATCCATACGATCAACATCTGTAGCCCTTTTACCTAAAAACTCCCAGACCCTCCCGAGAGCACCAGGGCACAAAAAGTAGCTAGTGATGATGGGAACCAGGAGAAGGAGATCGGATGGTGATGGTGATCGTGACGGACAAAGACACCACACTTACACCCCCTAAACCCTATATCCCTAAACCCTAAGCCCGAAACCCTGTAACCCTATGCCCTAAATCCTATAATAGCCCTATAACCCTAAGCCCGAAACCCTACAACCCTAAGCCCTCAACCCTATAATAGCCCTATAACCCTAAGCCCTAAATCCTATAATAGCCCTAAAACCCTAGGCCCGAAGCCCTATAACCCTAAGCCCGAAACCCTATAATAGCCCTATAACCCTATGCCCTAATCCTATAATAGCCCTATAACTCTAAGCCCGAAGCCCTATAACGCTAAGCCCTAAACCCTATAATAGCCCTATAACCCTAAGCCCTAAATCCTATACTAGCCCTAAAACCCTAATCCCGAAACCCTACAACCCTAAGCCCCAAAACCCCTATGATAGCCCTATAACCCTATGCCCTAATCCTATAATAGCCCTATAACTCTAATCCCGAAGCCCTATAACCCTAAGCCCCAAAACCCCTATGATAGCCCTATAACCGAAAGCCCTAAATCCTATAAAACCCTATGAAAGCCCTATAACCGAAAGCCCTAAATCCGATAACAGCCCTCTACCCCTAAACCCGAAGCTCTTAAAACCCCCTTAACCCTAAACCCTAA